CGTTTGCACTGAAGATTAAAACATGAATGCAAGAGGAGCATCTATGAGTGCAGCAAGGCTTTTTAAGGTGACGTGCACATGGTGCGTTGAATAATAATGCTTAACATTAGTTAACAGCGCACCACGATTAATTCCAAGCTGCTATTTTATTGTCGCTGGTCGCAGGGCATATTTCAGTTCCGACCATGGAACTCAGAGAGCAACAGTAAAGCATCCCACCACATCTTTCAATACGAACATACCCATCCAAACAACCAACCACCCAGCAATGACACCTGCGCTGCGCTAATTCAAGGCATATGATCAAAGCCTCACACTTGTCGCGGTTGAAAAATGAGGGTTTCATGTACTTGTGTTCACTGAGAGGCTTTCAGTTTGATTGTTTATGAGCGCTTCCTCTCCCTCGCCATATGGTGCTGTTCACTTTTAATTATGATAATATCAACGTCTTTGTCTTGTATAGTCCATTTGTGTAATCACATTTTCTCAGTGCAATACTCAACCACACTCACTCCCTCAAGCACACACATATTCCATCGAAACATAGCTTGTCAAACCCCCTAGCTTTGGAATGTCACATTTAACATGTGGAACGTAATTTTTTATTTATTTTTATTTTTTTCAAGATTCAAACATATGCTCTTTCGCTCTCTCTCTGAGAGAGAGAGAGAGAGAGAGAGAGAGAGAGAGAGAGAGAGAGAGAGTGGGTGTATATATATATATATATATATATACACAAGTCTGAAAGTAAGCCGTTTGTTGGGCTTCATTGAAACGCGTTGAATAGCAAAACTGGGAATCACACATTTTTATGTTGATAATCGTCTCCAACTGTCATTTGCCAGGAGGATGTCATTAAAAACTCATCAACAGGGCTGACTCTGTGCTATGCATCATCTTTAAACCTGACTGGAAGATCTCCGTGAGGTTCATCTGAGAAAGATTTGAACTGCATGTGCAACACTTTTCCGCATTTTTTTTGTAATAAAAGGCAACTTGGAGAAACCTCATCAACGAAAAACTGCAGCAATCTATTGGAGGTGAAGAATCTGAGCAAATAGGCTGAAGGGGTTTCAGTACAGAAAAAAAATACTTGGAAATAGTACACGCAGGTTGTAACGGTGGTTAGCCTAAATTTTCCATCCATTTTTCGATCACAAGGGTCGCAGGGGTTGCTGGAGCCTATCCTAGCTGTCTTCGGGCAGTTGGCGGGGGACACCCTGAACCGGTTGCCAGCCAATCGCAGGGCACACAGAAAAGAAAGAAGCATCCACACTCATACCTAGGGACAATTTAGAGTGTTCAATCAGCCCGCCATGCATGTTTTTGGAATGTGGGAGGAAACCAAAGTACCCGGAGAAAACCCACGCAGCCATGGCGAGAACATGTAAGCTCCACACAGGAAGGCTGGGGGCCCGGATCGAACCCACGACCTCTGCATTGTGAGGTCGACGTGCTAACCACTGGACCATCGGGCCAACCGAGATAAGTCTCGCATCTAGCTTTGGACTGCACAGTTTTTTTAATGGAGTCACCGAATCCAGTACAGCACGGCGGGATGAGTGGAACCAAGAGGTGAGTTCCTCTGTCATTGAAGAGGGGACCCAAAGCTCATCAAATGCTTCAGAGAACCTACCGGCAGTGAGAGGGTTAAAAATCTGGCAGCCGCACTCTGGAGCGGCAGATTTAACCGCAGCCCAAGTAAATATGACATCAAAAGAAAACTGCCATGTTACAGGAAATCACATTGTCCAAGACTTTCAAGTTTGACAACGGTAGACCGTGAGCAAGAACTAGGTCTAAAGTATGTCCTTGTTTATGTGTCGGGCTAGTCAAATATTGCATAAAATTAAAGGAATCAATAAGTCCTTTGCGAGTGATTTTTCAGGACAACCCACGTGAATATTAAAATCCCCCTTGAGGAGGATATGATCAAACTTGGGCCTGATTTCGGCAAGAAGATTTCAAAAAGTCTTGTTTTGTAAAAGTACTCACCGTTACTCCATCGCGGCCTGAAGTCCTCGGGGAGTCCAAGAAGGGCTACTCGACTCGACCGGTACCTGTCCAAGTCTCCGTGGGACAGAGGAAATCCAGTTCAACGCAATTCTTGTGGGAGCAACAACAGGTGCGCATGCCTCTTGCCGCGCAGGGCAGTCGTGTCGTGGCGCACAGAGTCCACAGGGTCCAGGACGCGCCATGACGGAGTAAATCCGTGCGTTCGGAAACAGAGGACGCGTGTTTCAGTTCCCGTTTTAGATTCACCGGTTGACTTCTTAGTTTGCCGCGGCGGCGGTGACTGCGCATGCGCCGCCAAGGACGCACGCGAACGCGGAAGTGATCAGTACCCGGGCAACACAGGTCAAGCAGAAGCGAGGAGTAAACTTTTAATGGCGTGACATGAACTCCCACCGGTGTGAGAGAGACTTTTAAAAACATTTCCATAAAAACACGTCCATTGACAACAATTCAAATTCCACACTGACACTAATTTACAAAATGTCCTCGTTACATTTTTGAAAAAAAAACAAACAAACAACAAACAAGAAAAGGCGCCCTGAGATGGCGAGAAGCGGCAATGAATGTCATTGACTAACAAGAACAATGTTTTATTCATATGAAAATAAATAAAGCACAAAAATCTAGGGCTATGAAGGGACTGCGTGTGATGCAGAAGAGAAAGTTTCATTTACAAAATTAGACTACATTCAGGTATTATTATTACAGTTTAGTAGTAGGATTGATTCAATTTAAAATGTTATTTTTATTTTAAAAAGTTATTTTCCTGAATTAATGAACTAAATTATTCATTAAAATGTGTTTCAACAATATCGTTATTACCTTTTTAAAACAGTATATGTCAGTTAAAATACATTTGGTAATTCAATTCAGTAGTTTAATTTTAAATTTCTTCTCTATTTATAAAAAACTTTACCAAATAAATAATCAAGTATTTTTAGATTATAAATTTGCTGATTTCATTTTTATTCAGTCCTCCTTTCATTAAAATAAATTAAATAGACAAAGAAACTGCTAAAACATAAAATAATTTAAAAAAAAACATTTATTTGACTGATTTAGTTCTTGCTTCTTTGTTAAATGTCCACATTTGAAATAAAATGCTTCAGCCTCATCACAGTAAGAATTCAAATGCAACAACGTAATCTACAATTCTAATCTTGAATTGACAGATTGTCCAATGGGCAGCATCCTCGAGATGCTACATCAAGGCAGCCATGTATGTTTGGTAACACGAGCAGCCATGTTCACCTACACATCATGAGTGGAGAACAATTTCCTGATTGGGAATTACTAAGTTTGTCTACATTTCGGCTCCATATACATTACAACAGGCCATGCCAAACACTCATTTCACACTATTGCCAGAATTTAGTAGGATTTTGTACAGAACAAAACAAAACAATCCAACATTTCTATCTGAGCCCAAAGAATAGAGTCTTGCTATGCGCTAGCATACCAAATATGAGCACATTTACGTTAGCATTTGACCAACCCTCAGTCCTCTTTTTAGCATATTAGCACATCTCAGTCTATTGAGGTCTCAAATGAACATTAAGGTTCCAAATATGATATGACATCAAATCCTCAGAAACGTATCAGCACTTTTTGTACTCCACTTTCTCTCTTGCTATTCACTCGAACAACAACTGTTAGCATAACAGCATTTGTGTAGGCTTTTTAAGCATTTGAGGCTTCAGTAGCACCCAGTCCAGTGAGCTAGTTATTGTGAGCATTGTTTTCATATTTGTCTACAGGGGAAGCCTGTAGTCTGTCACAAATGTCCCCTTATGTGTTCATAAGAGCTAGCGGCTTATATCAAGGAGTACTAAAAGCAATTAAAAACTCCTAGAAATTTTTGTAACATTTCCTTCTAAATTCTGGCAAGAGTAGAGGTCAGCACCCTCATGATCTTCCCTGGTTGTGTGACTTAAATGGTATTCAAGTGAGGCGAGTCAGACCACTTGAGAAATGAATGTTACAGGTCCAATGTAGGTAGTTATCATGCTATATGTTAACATACCAACTCCATCTAAGCAATTTACAATCCCATTAGACTATTCCATATTAGTACGCAATCCAGAGGCACAGGATGCTTCCAAATGAATGATAAGGTTCCAAAGCAGTTTGTTAGCATGCTAACTATTAACATGCCAGTAATTTATCAATTCCCCTTTGAAATAGTATGAGCACGATGTAAAACATTGACCTTACTTAGTGCTTTTCATAAATTATCATAATGACTGACCCGACCATAGAGCACCCTGTAAAAGATTTATCAATGTGTCTTGGTGATTTTTTTTTCCCCCCGTCGTGATGCTTTGTGTTAGCATGAATGGTGTTAGCATGCTAACTGTTAGCTGTTATTTGAACCCAACCACAGGGCGCAATGAAAAATCTTAATCACTGGGTCTTATTTATTTTTTTGTAGCCAGTGTGCTATCTTGCTATATGCTGGCACAACTACTGTTAGCATGCTGGCAACATTGTTAAAATTTCCATTTACAAAAAAAAATAAATAAATAATAACAATAATAATACTTTGACAGGGCAAGCCTATATTCTGTCACAAATGTTGGCTAAAGAAAAACTAAAAGTTCCTGGAACTTTTTTTGGGAGTAGTTTCTATGTTTTTCCTACTAAATTCTGGCACAGGACAACACCCTGATAATCATTTCCGTTTTTTTCTTTTTTTTTTTTTTTTTTAAAATCCAATTTCCCCAAACACAATGCTTTATGACCAAATAGCTGCAAATCAAATGGCCTTGGCAACAGCCTTGAACATGCACTTCAGCAGTAAATGTGGCTGCGGATCATACGCACACGAACACTTTGTCTTCT